TTGCTGGTAGAAGTGGAAAATAGGAAACATGTCGAAGGTTTAATCAAGATGAAGACCTTTCATAACTTCAAAATAAAAAAACCTTCAATCATGAAAGACTAATTACTTCTAAGGGAGTCATTAGAAGCAGAGAATTGTCTCTGGTCATACTTCAGGAATTTATAGGAACCCAGGTGGTCAGTGATTCCCCTAGAATCACAAGGCACGGAGGAGTAATGGATAGCGAGTAATTGAGGAGGCACGGTGGAGTAATGGATAGCGGCTCGGATTGAGGAATCGGAGAGCCGAGTTCGAATTCCAGTCGAATCCATTACGTGCTAACACCCTTGGGAAAGGTGTGAATCCTCTTTCTTCTCCCTCCAGCTATGGATAAATAGCAGGACAGACTGGATTCTATAGCCTTGGATGGCAACTGGTCTAGGAGAAAGAAAACTCTGAATTCAAACCTGCTCTTAGAGGAGGGTGAATGGAGTCTCTCTGAGCCTTGGTTGGCAATCCATTTAGTGATGGTGTCACGATAAAAACACCCCTGATAGCCCTAGCGAAGCATCAAGAATTCAGCTATTTGACAAGATTATGAACTACACCAATCAAAGTATTAGTGAGTTCAATCTCGGCTGAGGCCGCAAGATGATGATGAGATTCACAATAAAATGGGAAGGGGGAAGCTATAACAACCGACATGTATATCTTTAGTTTTGAAACATCTCAAATCAATAGAAGAATAAAAATCGGTACAATATTGAGTCAATAGAACAATATATTCTTGCTTCACTAAGGTGCTTCAAGTGCCAAAAATTTGGTCATCATAGGGATAGCTGCAGGAGTCGATCAACACGTGGGAAATGGGCCAAAGGGATTCAAATGCCAATGTGAAGTAATGAAAACTGCTAGGAAACACATCCAGCATACTCACGATCATGAAAGAGAAAAAGAGATAGTTGAGGCGAAACATAAATGAAATGTCTCATTCACAGAAGTAAGGCGAATAGTAGAGAGCTATATGAAAAGCCCTTCCTATGCAAAAATAACGCAAAAAATGACCACAACGAATACTAGTTAACCTGACAAATACAGCGCCCTCATTGAGAAGCTCATATAACTTAGGACCAAATGACTAGCCCAAATTTCTTAAAAACATATACGCCATGGTAATAGTACAAACTGAACTTCCAAAGCAAGTCAATGAAAGAATTTAAATAATAAAGAAACAACAAATGCAAAATCTACCGCTCAAGCACAAACCTCTCAAAAAATGCAATACATCTTATAAAGCAAAAGTCACAGTGATCTATTCGTTCACCAAAAAAACCACAAAACTACTCTTTTCTCTTGCTACTTATGACTAAGTTTTCTGTCCCTAATTCCTCCTAGAAGTGTGGAGACAGTTATTCATTATCCCTATTTCAAATTCTAGAACGGATGACATAGACCCTGAAAACTACAGACTGATAGCATTAACCAGTAGCCTATGTAGAACAATGTAGAGAATGGTTAACAACAGATGAACTTGGTATCTGGAAACTAAAAGCTTAATCAGCAACTTCCAATGTGAGTTTAGGAAAAAAAAGAAGGACCATGGACCAGTTAATACGCCTAGAAACCTTTGTAAGGGAAGTCTTCAGTAAGTAGTATTATTTGACTTACTGTCTGGTACTGTGGAATTTCTTCAGGTACATCCTGGTCCTACAACACATTAGACAATGGTCTGTATCGCAGTTCGCATTTTGGAAGGAATGCGTGAGTAAGGTGCACCTGGTCAGGATCAGGTCCAACTGATGCTAATGCTTTGGTATTAGATACCGCCAGGGAAACCTTCTGTTGTGTTTTTATCTGGAAGTAGGAGTTAGTGATGCACAGATTGCTGAAAGTGTAAAACTTGAGCAGCCGCTGACCATTTTCATTCATTTTCCCCAAACTAACATGGCCCAAGACAGGGTGGTCAGGAGTCATGATCAACTCCAACTCGGGCATTGTAGTAACCCAGGAGGATTAATTTCTCTGTGCTGGAGGGTTTCCATTTGTGTCTGCAAGGTTCTCATAGAACTCAGACGTGGCGGATAGGGTGGTGCATATATACTGACGAGAGTAAGGAAACCTTAAGTGGCGCTGAGGCGAAGAGTGAGGAGTTGTGAAGAGCCGTTACTTGCCTTCTTCAGCAAGGTGTTTTTCACGTCGTAGCCCGATCCGTGTCCCCTGTGATAATTCAAGCTCTTTTCCTGCTAGCAGAATGTTTAGTCTTTCAATGTGCTGGCTTCAGCCAGACTTGTTTCTTGAAGTACGCATATATTCACGTTTAGTCTCTTCAGCTCATCTTTTATAATGGCATCGCCAATATCTCCGAGGTTCTCTGTAAGGACCGTCAATATGGTCCGGAAATTCCAAGTTCCCAGTTTTAGAGCTGGTCTCTTTTCTTTGTTTGCTTGGTGCAGAATTCCCAGTCATGCTTGTCAGATTTCTGCTTTCTGCCCAGCTTGAGGAGAGCGACCACTGTTCAATGGGATCTGAGATTCCCTCCCACCGTCGGGAGCAACCACTGGCGCCAAACTCTACACCAATTGAGCCATAACTTAGACTGCTACTCCCTGTTTTGTGTCAATGCCGATGGAGAATCTGGAATGTTCTCTCCAGTTTGTTGTCAGGGTTAACTACCTTTCCAGTGTTAGGCATAAGATAGGATCAGACCTGAGCAGGATGGTATGGATGACAAGATGTTAACCATGCAGCATGTCCCTACTCTCCACAATTGATGGATCCAAAGGGCCATTACAGTTTAACACCAAGAATAATCAACTCATACTTGCTAAATAATAAAGATCAGCCAGTATGCCAAGCATGTGAAACAGCATACACTACATTAATATATGTTTAAACACATATTAATCGAGCCTTTTCAGCTTACTCTCTCGAAACAAAATTACTATAATATAAACAACATGTATGAGGTTTTCGAGAAAGCAAAATTGGGTGACATAGTGTTATTCTTTTTAAAACAGTTGGTCTCTACCAAAAAAATAAACCAAATGAAAATGTCAATAAAATCAATTTCCCTACAAACTGTATATCTGAAAAGAATACATCAATGAAACCAGACTGTCAACACAAACCCTCTTTACAAAAATATGTCAATGAAACCTGATCTACAAAATGATTTCTTACAAAGAATGCATATTCTATTCAAACAAATCTACTGTAAAAAAATTGTCGGAATTAAATAACCCATTGAGGTTGATATGCCGTAAAACAAAACAAACCAAACCAAACACATTCTTTCTTTTTTCTTTCTTTCTTTCTTTCTTTCTTTCTTTCTTAATTCCATCTTCCAGGCCCCAAAGATATTTGCCGCCTTTATACATAATTTCTCAATTGTTTGAGCATTGGGGAGTTGGATACATTCAATACTCATTGACGTCCATTTCTTCAAGATCAACACACTACATTCTTTCTTTCTTTCTTTCTTTCTTTCTTTCTTTCTTTCTTTCTTTCTTTCAATTTACATCCTGTTTTCCTCTCTTTCTTATCTTCATATATTTTCTTTCTTTCTTAATTCCATCTCTATCACTATCAGTTTCCAAAACTACAAGATATTTACAACATTTAAACATTAATTTCTTCTATTGTTTGATCATTAGGCAGTCAGATATCTTCTGCTTTTGAATACTTCCATTTTTTCAATATCAATGCACCATACTTAATGATTCCTAATTCTATCCTTATATCGTTGATAAAAACTCTTACTGTATTCACAATATTATTCAACCCTCTTTCAGTCTTACCATGTAATATTTGGTCTTCTATAAATAATTAATTAGCCATTCCTAAAACTAAAAGCAGCATTCAGTTTGCTCAGAATCTTTGAATGTAAGGAGAGTTAAATGACAAAAATAATGGCATACTATCAGTTGGCTCTTTAATTTGTAACTCCTAATTTCCTTTAGTAGCCGAGTTTCGTTTAGTTGAATAAACTTTAGCACTTTTACTGTTGTCCTGAGCTTTGTTTACTCTTAAAATTACTACAACGCTTTTCTGTGTTTTGTCTAATTTAGTTTTCATATAATTTCTCCAGATACATTTGTTTTAAGCCGCAATGGTAAAAAAAAAAATCGTTTTTCTTTTCAGATGTCCTTTTCATAACTATGTTCATGACTGATCCTTTGCAATAGTATCTGTCCAATATTTAAAAAAAAATATCATTTACACTGTTTGAACCAGCCTCAATATTTACGGATCCATTTTCATAACCACTCCTGCAATGAAGGTGTTTGTACATAGTCATTAACTTATTGTACCGATCCATGGATTTGTGTCCCTCACTTATTTATCCCAGGAAGAATACTGGAGTGTTAATGAAACTTATAGTTATCTATAATCACTTGAACTCTACTGACTTCAACAAGATAATACAACTATGAAAACTCACAGAGCACAAAATAATATCTACAGGGTTTCCCTGATCATCGTTGAGGTTAAACGTATGGCTATTGTAAGAAAACCCTGAAAAGTACAGAGATTAACATCTGCATGGTAACAACTGGAAAACACCAAGAATAAAAATTAAGCATATCCAGAAAAACATTATTCATGATACCTGTCATTATAACTTGATATTAATATCATTTCCGAGAAAAAAACGTTATTGCAATTAACATCAATATCCAAATTATTAAAACGATGCTATCAATGATATTATCTCTATCAACATTAATATTAAAGTATTATTACCTTTGAAAAATTATCAGTAATAGTAATAAATTTAAATAATTAGTATTACTAATAAAAATTGTAACTTACAATATATATGCAAATCGGACACTGTTACTATCACAATCATGAGGACCACCAAGAAGTAAATCAAGTTGTGCATAATGTTTCAGGTAAAAATCGATGAATTTTTCGAAAGTAATGTTTTGGATATTTTGACAGGTTGCTGTAATGCAGCGAAAGTAGATCGTTACTTTTTGTAGACTTTTTTTATTGTCTGTATTTCAATTTTGTTCTTTTTACTTGTATATGTTTTTGAAGAAGAAGAAGAAGAAGAAGAAGAAGAAGAAGAAGAAGAAGAAGAAGACTAACAATAACACGAAATGATGGCGGAAGAAGAAGAAATAAGTGAAAGAAGTAAATGAGGCAGAATTAAGGAGGAGGAGGAGGATGTGAGGAAGAAGAGGTGGTGGTGGGGGAGAAGAAGAAGACGAAGAAGTAGAAGACAAAACAACAACAGCAAAAATGATAGAGGAAGAAGACAAAATGAGAGGAAGATGAAATAAAGTAGGCAGAAGAAGAAGAGGAGGAAGACCAAAAGTGGGAAGAAGAAGAAGAAGAAGAAGAAGAAGAAGAAGAAGAAGAAGAAGAAGAAGAAGAAGAAATCTGTAAATGAACAAAAGTGGAGCAAGTGGCAAACTGTTGACGACACGGAGAATAGAATCTACGAACCGAGTTCAAATTCAAGTAATGCCATTCTTTATTGGAGATATCAAAATCAAGCTGGTACAACTACTTAGATATCTGGGAAGCGTATTAACAGGGAAAGAAAAGTGTGACACTGAAATTCGGAGGCTTTGTAATAGCGAAATATGCCTTCCATAAGCTGAGTAAAGTATTAAGAAACAGAAAAATATAGTTAGAGACAAAGAAACGGGTGCTGAACTGTTACGTTACACAATTCCAACTATACGGCAGTGAATGCTGGATAATCCCCTCACAAATGAAGAAGAGATTTGAAACAATAAAAATGTGGTTCTACAGAAGTATACTGGGAATATCATGGACATGCGAGCAACGACGAAATCCTGGAGACAATAGTAACAAAAAGGAAACTTACTTAAACATCAGTAAGGCGCAGCTGAAATTTGTAGGACATATAATGAAGAAAAGAGGCTTCGAAAATCTGATACTCACAAGGCAAGAGAGACAGAAGAAAGCAACATATAACATACTTGGCGAGCTTGAGTGAATGGATGGCGAAACAAAGTTTAGTAAAGATAACAAAAAAAATTATTAAGAGCTACAAAGGGCAGGATATTGCGGAGAGTCATACGTCCTGAAGGGACACGGCACATAGAAGAAGAAGAATGAGCTTGAGTAAATGGTTGACAGAACAAGGTTTAGGAGAGATGACAAAGAGACAAAATTTATTAAGTGCTACAAAGGGAAGGACATTGTGGAGAGCCATGATCGCTTATGTCCTGAAGGCATACGGTACATAGAAGAAAAAGAATGAGCTTGTGTAAATGGATGATGGAACAAGGTTTAGGAGAGATAAGAAAAAGACAAAATTTATTAAGAGCTACAAAGGACAGGAAATTGTGGAGAGCCATGATCGCTTACGTTCTGAAGGCATACGGTACATAGAAGAAGAAGAATGAGCTTGAGTAAATGGTTGGCAGAACGAGGTTTAGGAAAGAGAGCAAACAGACAAAATTTATTAAGTGCTACAAAGGGAAGGACATTGTGGAGAGCCTTGATCGCATACGTCCTGTAGGAACAGAAACATTAATGATGAGCAGAAAGAGAAGAGAGTAATCACGTGGACAGTAGATAACGATTGACATTGCATTTAAATTTTTGCCGATTAAAGTTTGTTGGAAAGCATGGAGCCAGACGGCAGTTCCACATGCAAGGCAGTAAGGCCACTAAGACACAAGGGGTTACAGGATGTGGAAGAATTAGGAACAGAAACATTAATGAAGAGCAGAAAAAGAAGAATCAAGAGGAAAGTAGATAGCAATTGACATTGCAGTTAAATTTTTGAAGATTAAATTTTTTTGGAAAGCATCGGACTGGAAGGGAGTTCCACAAGAAAGAATTATGAATAGAAACAATAATGATGAGCAGAAAAAGAATAGAGAATCAGGAGGACAGTAGATAGCAATTGACATTGCATTTAAAGTTTTGAAGATTAAAGTTGGTTGGAAAGCATGGATATGGAAGGTCGTTCCACAAGCGAAAAGTGCGATAGAAGAAACTGTTAGTATAAAACTTTCGCCTACATCTAGCCAGCTCAAATGTAAATTGATGAGATCTCGTCGTCAGTCTTGTGCCCCTCTTAAATTAAAAAATTTTAGGTACCATAGCGAAAAGATAATCCGAATAGTTATGAAAGTATTTATAGAAAAGACAGAGAGGCAACCTTACGGCGGTGGAAAAGAGACTGGAGCTGAGCTGCCAGATCAGGACCAATAATATTGCTGATTCTTTTTTGGATCTTATCAAGGAAAATAGCAGGGCACTGAACTATATGTGGCAGCAATGTTCTAAGTATGGACGAATGGTAGACTTACAGATATATAAGATAGATTCTGGAAAGAAAAATTGTCTCGCCTGACATTGTGAACCGATATATTTATTATCACAATGTGGGATATTGTTATGGTCCGGTTCCTTGTACCACGATGATAGTTCAAGGTAGAACCAATAAAGAAGAACTCGAAGGCGGATATGGAATAACACAGATATATTACAAACAGGAATATATACAGAGAAGTAGAAGTGTTAGTATGAACAATCAGGTTTAGTAGGGAGAACAATGTAGTCTTGACCATTATCACTATTCCAATGTCTTACAGTAATTGTCTGAACGCGACTCTGTTTCGGACTGCCTCTGACTCGACTGACTGACTCGCTTGCTCTGACTGACTCGCTCGCTCTGACTGACTGACAAACAGACTTCTGACACACCTCACTCCAGACTTCAGATTGAACTCCCTGCTTCCTCATGAGGCGCAGTATTACGTATGGAATAGTCCATTATGTTATGGGTAAGGTCCCATAATAGATATTTATTAATAAAAGTGATGGAAACATAAAACAGAATATAAATAAAATCGGCTAGATTATATAACAAAACAGATATTAAAAAATATAAATTTAAAATTCTCAGCGTCTCTTTCGTTCGTGCATCAAGGAAAACAAACATAGTCTGAAGAAGTCATAAAGGACGAAACACGTCATACTTTTTTCTCGTAATATATATATATAAGAGCAATAGTGATTAAAGAACAGTATACGTGACAAAAATACTTACCTGGCTTATGTCAGAGGGTCTCCCCCAGACGAGGCTCTGCCGAGGGACGGAGTCTCGTCTCGGGAGCTGACTCCGTTTTTTTACGTGGTCTATAGGGAATTTTTGCCCGAGCCTACGGGTTCGGATACACCACTTTAAACTCGGCCTTCTGCCACACCTTGCTGCGTGGCGCATCGGGTAAATAAATAATTATACGTGAAAAAATATAATGTAATAACAATTATGATAATATATTTCATCATTATAGCAACAATAATAAGCAAGAATTAGCAAAACGATATTAAAAATGGCATTCATAATGATCACGATATATGGTTGATGTTGAGGTTTACGTTTGTTCTATACATAATAAAAATAATAGGCAATTTGAATAACAATTTCAGAATTGAAAAGATACAATCTAAAGTAAATACGTGATAATGTTGATGTTGAAGATAATGATAACGACGATAATAATAATAATAATAATAATAATAATAATAATAATAATAATAATAATGTCTATGTAACGCTAGCAACTTCATCGGAGATAAAAAAAAAAAAAAAATTAACATGAAAATAATAACACACCACGACCTGCCTTAGGTCTTTCTTCCAGACTTGTAGGTAGTGTGTCCATAGCAGAAATCGAATGATGATAATAATAATAATAATAATAATAATAATAATAATAATAATAATAATAATAATAATGTCTATGTAACGCTAGCAACTTCATCGGAGATAAAAAAAAAAAAAAAAAAATTAATATGAAATGTGGCCATAATAACACCACGACCTGCCTTAGGTCTTTCCGCAGACTTGGTAGATAGTGTCCATAGCAGAAATCGAATGATGATGATAATAATAATAATAATAATAATAATAATAATAATAATAATAATAAAAAAAAAAAAAAAAAAAAATAATAACCTGCCTTAGGTCTATTTAACGCTAGCAACTAAAGAAATCGAATGATGAGATAATAAAAATAAAAAAAATTAATAATGTCTAAACGCTTTCAGCTTCATCGGAGATAAAAAAAAAAAAAAAAATGTAACATACAATAACACACCACGACCTGCCTTAGGTCTTCCGCAGACTTGGTAGGTAGTGTGTCCATAGCAGAAATCGAATGATGATGATAATAATAATAATAATAATAATAATAATAATAATAATAATGTCTATGTAACGCTAGCAACTTCATCGGAGATAAAAAAAAAAAAATTAACATGAAAATGGCCATAACAAACACACCACGACCTGCCTTAGGTCTTTCCCAGACTTGGTAGGTAGTGTGTCCATAGCAGAAATCGAATGATGATGATAATAATAATAATAATAATAATAATAATAATAATAATAATAATAATAATAATAAAACATGTCTTCCAACAACATACAAACTGTTAACATCTATTTTAACAAAACAGACATATTTCTTCTTGGAAAGAAATGACATACTACCACTTGAACAAAAAGGGTGCAAACGAGGCTGCTACGGATGTAAAGACCAATTACTTATTAATAGGATGATCCTGGAAAACTGCTTCCGTGGAAAAAAAAACCTTAGTATTGCCTGGATAGATTATCGTAAAGCATTCGATAGTGTACCACATTCCTGGATCTTAAAGTCTTTAAGTATGTACAAGGTATCACCCGTTATCATCAATTTCATCAAACAGTGTATGTCGATATGGAAAACTACACTTTACCTCAATCATAAAAAATGGAACCTATAAGTCTGGCGAAATAAACATCAATAGAGGAATATTTCAAGGTGACTCTTTGTCTCCTTTATTATTTTGCATATCACTTATAGCATTAACCAGCCAACTTAACAAGACAGAATGCGGTTACAAAATAGCTCAAAAGAAAATAAACCATCTATTTTACATGGATGACTTAAAATTGTATGCTAGGAATGACAATGAGCTGGAAGGTCTTCTGCAAACTGTAAAATGCTTCAGTGAAGACATCGGAATGAAATTCAATTTGATAAATGTGCTAAAGCTACAGTTTTACGAGGATCGCTACAACAAACTTCCCTATTAGTTTAGACCCTGCTGCTTAACAATAAAAGATTTAGAACAAGGAGAAGCTTATAAGTACCTAGGTGTAAATGAGAGTGAAGGAATTCACCATAAGAAAATGAAAGAAATAGTGCGTAAAGAGTACTATAGAAGGGTACGACTGGTATTAAAAACTGAATTGAATTCTCAGAACAGAATTATGGCCATTAATAACCTAGCCATCCCAGTGGTCCAATATAGTTTCAACATCTTGAACTGGACTCTAAATGACATCAGACAAATGGATTAAAAAACAAGAAAGCTTTTTCTAGTATAAGATGCATCATCCA